AAAAAAAAAAAAAAAAAAAAAAAAAAAAAAAAAAAAAAAAAAAAAAGGAAGGATGTGGATGATGATGACGATGAGCAAAGCAACAAAAAACACAGTGCACTATGTACTGTATTGATTTCATTGACCATCAAAAGTCAATGGTAAATCAAAAATCGCGTACACGATCGGTATTGTGTTTTTGCAAATTTAACGGTACAAAAAATATGAATAAATTAAAAAAAAAAAGGATTCACGAAAAACAAAACAAAATCCAGCTCGACGCGGTTTATCCGAGCTACACATTATACCCACGCACATAATATCGTCTCGGTGGAGCTGCAGCCGATGCAAACGAACAAAAGCGCCGGTGCAGACGTACGATCCGCACCAACAATGAAGGCCCCCTTTCATTCGGCTCGTATAGGTACATTGTACCCGTGCAACTTTACGATTTAACGTGTGTGCAACTTACGCGCGCGTCGTATAGCATACATATACGCACAAAAGAACATCTCGTTTGTACGTGCATTCATATAGGTAATATACCAGTGGATAAATGAATTACACAAACACGACGGCAATGTGATTGCGACTTCTCCGTGTGCGAGTGGGTACCTACTTTGTTCATAAATATGGGCTTTGATGTATCGTGGAGGTTTTGAGTCATACGACCATCTTTTGTGTATGTACATATTGGTTCGTGTGTGTATAATGCACGCGAGTGGGTGGATGTTTTTGCTTTTTGTTACGTGCAACCATCGAGTATCTTTGAGATAAACACTTTGATCGGTAATACAAAGACGGAGGGGATATTGTTGTAAAAACATTTTGTAGCCTTGACTGTAAAAATGACGCCGTTGCTATCAGTGTCGAGGACTTGATAACAACAATAAAGTGTTTTATTTTTGATCGTATCAGTAAAAGTTACAATATTTATAACAATTTCATCGGCAGGTTATCTTCAAATTAACTGTTTTTCGGAGCTACTGTGTTTTAGAGTCAAGGCAATGCGGTATACCAATTGTTGTTGTTAACAAAACGTCAGTGACAAATAAAATAAAACGAGAATTGTTGAAAGCTTTTTGATGGTCGGCACGACTTATCAGAGCTTCTGATCAATTTTCGGTACTTAAATGCGAAAAAATATCTTTCTTGGTTTATTATTTAATGTGAGAAAATTTCAGTGGTATCTAATGAGCAAGTTTTTTTTTTTTAAGATTTTGAATTTTTTCGTTTGTATGAGACTTTTTGTCATTTTTTAAATAAAATATTACTTCATTTTAAGTAAGTTTGATGCGACCTTCAATTAAAATTTTCTGTCTTTAGTGGGAAATTTTTTTTTTACTTTTTGAAATAATCAGTAAAATGAATTGTGCATATTTTTTCAAACGATGCAATTATATGGAATATACTTTAGTTATACGTATTATATGTTGGATATCATATTTATATTACATATGAAGAAAACAAGATACCACAAAACAACCCTCAAGATTATCAGTACCAATTGCTGTACGAGGTTTAGAAGTAACAAGAAAAGTAAGTGATAAAATAAAAATTGTTTTGAAAAATTTAGAACAAAATAAATCTAGAATAATCTCAGGGAAACAGTATACCAGACGAGTCAGCAGCGTTAGCTGGAAGAATTCGATGATAATTGGTATAAACTCGCGTGCTGTCACACGCTCGAAACAAACTCTGTAGCGCTTGTGCCGCGAGATAACTCACTCGTGGTAAATCGTAGCGAAAACCGTGGATACACATAACACGCAAATTAGGCAAACGAGCAAGTGACTTGAACACGCAGTGATTACATGTACCCACATGTCCTCGTAAACAACCGTATAGCTGCTCGTTATCAAAAGCGTTGCTGACGAGGATTGGTTGCACTTACATAATCACCGGCTATGTTTATTTCTTATTTTTTCACCGCAATCACCGATTTCCGAGTGTTATTAAATTATTTTGGGTCTTAACGAAATTACGCCGATCACGTGCGTATAATTATTACATTTCATGTGCATCCGGTTGAGAAGTCTCATCGGATCTTGGATAATTACCTTGATTAACGAGCATTGATCAAGTTGCCTCACGAGATTTGACAACAAGAAATACGAAAATCATTCCATGAAATTTCATACAATGTGTGATGTACATGCATGATGTCGATTATTAGAACATTCACTTAAATTTTGAAGATCTTTTCCTTGTTTTTAGCCCACTACGTGTGTAACCCATGAGATTACCAAATTATAAAACTAAAATCTAGCTATTGTTCTTTATTTTGGTGTTAAAAATTAGACCCATACCTATTGATAATTTTTTTCGTCTATTTGCTAGACTTTTATGGCAGTGAACTAAAATTTGAAATTATCACCAGAGCTGAGATGGGTCTGGAAATCACCAAAATCTGTAGATACACACACGTGTATATTTAACGACTACGATGAAAGAAAAATAACTAAAATGGTCACGAAAACGCGAAAAAAAATCAAGCATTTAAAGCTAGCTCGTGGCTTTTATTTTCTATTTACGTAAACACATCGTAAAAACGCCGATGGTGTTAAAAAAAAGAAAATACTATTAATTATTTGTTATGAAAATTCCTTAAGCTTTTTCTTACCTCAATTTTTTTTTTCTATTTTAAATATTTATTCCATCACGAAACTGGAAAAAATGTTAACTTTAATCTCACGACTACTTCTCACTGATCCAATTCGAAAATTAAAAAAAAAAACTACCAAAACATTTTACATGTTGATATAGTCATTAAGATACAAAGATTGTACGTAGAGAAATAGAGGAGACATATGAGATGTGTTAAGTACACACCACCAATAAAAATCGTAAAGGTAAATATTTTTCATTAAAAACGGGTGGCTAAGGTCGGCAAACTCCTCGGGTGTCTTGGTGTTGAGACAGACGAGCATGTTGCCAACCGTGTCAGTGGGACAGTCGAGGAGCTCGGCCTGTTTTCTCGCCAGGTGCGACTGATTCGTGGGCAAGGCCACCTGATAAACGGCAGAGCCGCTCGAAGCGATGGCTCGATGAAACAATCCCTTGGACATTGGCGAGACGAGGTGGAGCGAGACGCTCCAGGCACCTGCGCTACATCCGCTCAAGGTCACGGACTCGGGATCGCCACCGAAGGCCACTATGTTCTTTTGCACCCAGCGCAGGGCCTCCACTTGGTCCTTCAGCCCGAGATTGCCCGGGAGTAGCGCGTCGCCCGTACTCATGAAGCCTTCGAGGATTACAAAAAAACGTTTTTTTTTCTTTCTTCTTTTATTTTATTTTTTCTTTTTTTTTTCTATTCAAACACCCACCCAAAGACGAGAGGCGATAGTTCGCAGTCACGAGGACGACGTCGTGGTCCAGCATGTACTGTGGTCCAACGGTCAGGCTTTGGCTGGACAGTTTGTAGAAGCCGCCCGGATGAAAGTACACGATCACAGGTCTCTTGACTATGTAGTCGGTGCTCGACAGCTGTTTGTTCGTACGTTTAGAAGTTTTCTTTTCTTTTCTTTTCTTTTTTTTTTTTTTTTTTTTTTTTTTTTTTTTTTTGTGGGGTGGGTGGTGTTTTCTTTCCTTTTTTTTAAAAAAAAATTTTTATTACCCCCCCCAGGAGTGGGTTATATCCTAGTTTTATTTAAAA